AATTTTGTGTACTTCGGAGAACGGGCAAATACAACCTGGAACGGAGATTTTGCAATATACTTCTCCCAGGAGTGGGGAGGGAATGGGGATTTTGCAGTATCCTTCCCCTGCCATGCCCACCAAACCGGTAGTAAAAAAATTTGAATTTCACCACTGATTCTACAGTAGCTTTAAACCTTCCCCATTGCCAAACGGGTAACTTCTTCCCTACCAGTGGCTCATTAAATTTCTCCTGGTGAGATAGTCACACCTGAATTGCTATTAATTTTTCGACATTTGTCAATGATATAGGTATGGCCAGCTGAAAGCTAAAGAAAGGAGAAGAGAAATAGTTCTGCTCTAGGAAATTGGTCACAAGAGAACATTCAGCCTTAAGAACATTTCTCTTATGAGAACATTAAGAATGTTCAGCATTCTGTTTATTACTAGAGTAGTATCGGGTTCTTGGTGGAGACTGTACTTCTGTTGGTGTTTTGGATGCCTTGTTATCAACTAAAAGAAGAGGGAAGCACGGGGAAAAAAACAGATACTGTATGCTTAGAAACTACATCCAAAGGAACTTATAAGATAAAACAGACCTCCTTTTTGAAAGGAAATATAGCAGACAGAGTCAAGAGCAAGTGGGAAAAAAAGGTTGTTATCCTAGCTGACTGCCAAACTAGAAAGAAAGGAAGGCTTGACACAATTCAGTAAAGCAAGTCTCTGTATTATCTAACAAATTTGTCAAGGTATCAAGAAATCATTAATCCAGCAAATGTCAAGGCTCCAAGTCACTCTCCATGACCCTCCACACTAGGCAAACATTATCTTTTTCCTGGAAGCAGTGGAAAGGACTTTAAGGGCTTTCCAGGCCCCATCAGACTTTGAAGCTAACAGAAGACGTAACACAAACCCAGAAAACAAGAGACAAGATGGTGAAGAGAAACTTGGTTTTCCTCCTGGTGATTGTTGCAGATCAAGCAAGAAAATGTTGCCTGATACTTTCATCTACATCACAGCCTTGAAATGAATGAAAACTGCACAACTGAAGAGTCCAAAAGTTCAAGCAGTCAGCTTGTTAGAATGCAATGTAAGAACTCTGTCTGGGGTAGTGCTATCCCATTCTGAGAGAAAGATAATGTCTAACATAAGACACCCCCCCCCCCAGTCACTCCCTCAATAATCTAAGTTCATGCTATGAATCCCCAAGCTACCCATGAATCCACATCTAAAAAAGAAGGCAAACTTAAGTCCCCAATGCCTTAGGTTCTGGAGTCTTTACTGCCAAACTTGTCAGAGTTTTGTTGCAGAAATCACATCCAGAAAGCTCACACAGATAACTGATTCAACAGGATTCATTAACTTCTTTACATACATAATAACACCAACAGCAGATTCTTCCAATGTGATAGAGTTACAGGAAAAACACAGGCAGAGGAGAGATGGTTTCAGTTTCAATTCAGAGAGCAGACTAGATTAGTTTTCTTGCACAGACTCATAGCTACATAGGTAAGTCCTGCCTAGGCTCCAAGCTATATGGCATGGCTCTCAGTCACCAAACAGTTCCCATTGGCTGACCCAGTTGCCATGTCTACACATTGGCTGACCTTGTTATCATATCTCTTGCCAGTTCATGAATATTCTGACAAAACTGGCCACAGCATCAAGCAGTTCAGGTAGGGCAGGCCCTTTGTAGCAGAAAGTTCTGATACACTAACGGCAGTACTAGCTGATCTCTAGAGCTAAACTTCATGAGCAGGATCTCATGTCTGGTTTCTGCAGAGCAGTAGCCCCAGAAGTCACTGGAGTCCTTTCAAATGACAATCACAACAACCACTGTTCCTACACCAGAGATGCTACCAAACAAAACATTGATGGGCACATTTCCAAGAAGGGCACCCCACCTCTGACCCCATGTCCTGCAAGGTTCACATAATACATGCAAAGTTGACACTCTCATGCAGAACTAGAGCCGGGGTGGCACAGTGGTTAGAATGCAGTACTGCAGGCCTCTGCTGCTGAATGCCGGGTGTCTGCAGTTCATCAGTTTGATTCTCCCCAACTCAAGATTGACTCAGCCTTCCATCCTTCCGGGGTTGGTAAAGGAACGTTGGTCCCAGGTGAATGTTTTTCTCAGCGTGGCGCAGGACGGTCCAGGAGTGGGTTGTTCAATCCTTATTTGCCCAAGAGACTGAGTCAGAATTGAAGCCACGCCTCCAGCTTCCCCTACTGACTTCCAATTCCGACAAGGTGCAACTCCAACTAGAGAAACAGAAGAAGAGCAGGCCCTGCCCGTAGCATTAATAGCCCCGGAGACACGGAACTAACTAAACAACAAGCAAGGGCGGGACCTGGACCGTCCTGCACTACGCTGAGAAGTGTGGTAGGACCAACGTTTCTTCTCCAGCTGATAGCGCAGGAGGGTCCAGGAGTGGGACATACCAAAGCCACAGTCCCTAGGGCGAGAGCTCACTGGTCCATGGTACCCGAGGGAGCATGAACTCCTTGAAGCACCCGACAATCAAATGACGCCTCGGCAGATGCAAAAGCATCCAATCTATAATACCTAATAAAAGGTGAAGGGGAAACCCATGTTGCAGCTCTGCAAATATCCCCAATTGGAGCCTGAGTGTTCCACAAGGCAGTTGTGGCCGCACTCCTAGTTGAATGAGCCGTTATCCCCGTGGCACCAGCTTACCTTCGCCTCATAGGCTCGGGCAATACAAGCCCGTAACCATCACCCAATGGTAGAGGGGGACACCCGTGACCCAATGGTAGAAGGCTGGAAAGAAACAAACAGCACCTCTGTCTTCCTGGAGGGCTCTTCTCCCCATCCCCTGTACTTCCTTGACTGAGGAGCTTGCTTCACTAGGGAAGGAGGATCCTGAGGGGAACTCTTCCTCTTCTTGGAGCTCTTCGATGGAGCTGCAGAAGCCACCCCAGAGGTGCTCTCACTGGGGGAATCAGCCATGTCAATGTAGCAATACTCTTTGCCCCAAGGCCTCACTCTGCTCAGTTCGGTAACCAGCACAGCAATCTGCGACTGTTCTCACCAGAGCCGGCAGTCGCAATGAGCCTCGTGGCAGTGAAAAAGGGAAAACAAAATGGCCCACCGGAGTTCCAAACAAAATGGCTGCCACCTCATGGCCACTAACAAAATAGCCACCACCACAAGGACCTTCCCAAGATGGCCACCACCCAAGAAGCTCTCCCAAAATGGCCACCCCCAGGGCCCCATACTCATGAGGGAGTAGCTTCCAGGAAAACAAATGGTGTCGGCGAGCAAACGGCCCCAAGAATGTGTGGATCAGCTGCTCGGCCCTCCGCAAGTCCAGCGAGCGCCAATCGGGCCCTCCTGTTGGTCTGGACTGTTTGCAGCCTCATGGGAGCGCCTGCGCTCCGCACGCGCACCCTTCACACCAGTAGCTTCGACGTCCACCAGCTGCAGCCCCTGAGAACCAGCAGCAATGCAGGGAAACCTCCCGGGCCCGTGCACGAGTAAGCAAGCAGTAATCAAGCCGAACGGAACTGCAATAGATCTCTGATAGCCGGCACAGCCAACTGCTTGCCTGCAAGGAACCTGGAAACCTCCATCAGGACCTAGCCCAAACTCTTCAACACTCTAACAGTAACCAAGTGGAAAAGAACTTGTGAGCCAAGTTCAACACCTTCCATCAGCTAGTAACATTAAAAAACAAGAAAAAAATACTTTAAAGCAAACTAACTCTAAAAAAAACAATTTTCACTCACAGCAATAAATTTTATATCTCTTATCGGGCAAGATTGAGTCAGAATTGGAAGTCAGCAGGAGAAGCTGGAGGTGTGGCTTCAATTCTGACTCAGTCTCTTGGGTAAATAAGGATTGAACAACCCACTCCTGGACCCTCCTGCGCCATCAGCTGGAGAAAGGAGGACCCAGATTGTTGGGGGCAATATACTGACTCTGTAAACCGCTTAGAGGGAGCTGTAAAGCATTATGAAGTGGTATATGTCTAAGTGCTATTGTTAGATTGTAGATGAGGAAAACTTTATTACAAGCCAAGCATGCATTCGGGACCAACAACCGGAAACTAGGGCAATTACCGTATTTTTCAGAGTATAAGATGCACCTTTTTCCCTCAAAAAAGAGGATTTAAATCTTATACACAATACAGCATATTTTGCCTCCTGAAACCCCGCCCCGTTCACCAAAAAGGGCGTTGGTACTTACCTGATACGCCTCTTCTCATAGTGGGGGGNCCCCCCCAACAGTCTGGGTCCTCATTTTACTGACTTTGAAAGGATGGAAAGCTGAGTCAACCTTGAGCCTGGTGAGATTCGAACTACCAAATTGCAGGCAGCAGAAGTAGCCTGCAGTACTGCATTCCAACCACTGCGCCACCACAGCTGAAATTCAAAGGCCATAATTTCTGCATCCCTTTTCTATATGCTCAGCAAATAATATGTACACATACTCTCTCACGTGGGCATATGTGCTATATATATTGTATATTAACATGATGAAAGTTGGTGAAGTATACTTTTGTGCAAGTTTGTCTTTTTTTCTAGAAAACAAATAATATGTTTGCAGCTTGTGTTGAAAGAATTGGCCATCCAAAAGAGAACAAGGAATGTTAAAACAAATGGATGCAATCGTGAAAATTTACAGAAGAAAAAACTTTTCAATATTGAATGAGGAAGCAGTTGCCAAAAGGGTCAGAGAATATGAAAACCAATGTTCATGCATGTTAAATACGCACAGGAGTCCCCTATTAACTTTTTTGTGTTTTTGAAAGTTGCCATGTGAGTTGCATTGGTTCAATAATTGCTGTCTTATGATGTACTATTTCACCCAATGGAAGGTTGCAAACAGGCACAAGAGGTTTCAGAGTATAAAGATATTTCCTTGAGGATTGTTATTATTTCTTTTTAAACTGGCATTGGATTTATAGCAATTATGCTTTAATAGTTATATAGACTAATAATAAAAAAATGTCTCAATTTATAGTTTTTATCTGACATGCCTTGATTGTTCTTTTCAGCAACAAGACACAAGACTGCTTAAAATTCAGGAAAGGCTGTTGCAAAGCAGATCCTAACAGGTCCGTGGATCAAAGAAGCACGAATGTCTTGTGGGATTGCTCTACACTGGAGACAATGGGTAGTGTCTCCAGGGAAGAAAGCACTTTAGAAAAACTTTCTGGTTTGAAGGATTCAATGAACTCTAAGGAAGCTGAATGGCGAAATCCTTGTAACCCAGAGGAATTCACTTCTGCAATGGAATCCAAACTCATAACAATGCTGCAGGTGAATACTAAGGATTTAGGAAGGGAGACCGAGCACTTACACTCTCAGGCTTCACCACCACTTGTTGGAGTACAGACTGTTAGTGAAGATGAAAGATACCATAGCAGTGAACCAAAGCATGTAGATACCTTCAACAAAGAACACTTGAGCAAAAGTCAAGCCTTGGAGAAAGAAGACTTTCACAGATTTGATTGGATTTCTGGGCACAGAGAAGGGCATGGGCTACTCCCCAAAAAGAAGAGTAAATCACCAGATGTAGCAACAAACCTGTCTGTTAAGAGACAATCTGCGCGAGAAGCTTCTTTGTTGGCTTTGCCAGTATTTAGAAAAATGCTAAATCCCCACTTAAATAAAGCAAACAGTGTAGAGTGTGTGTTCTCTCCCTGGAAGGGACAGGCAGTGGATTCTGATATAGATGAAATAAGTTCTGCTAATCCAACTGATTGGGTATTAGAGAAATCAGGACTTCAGACAGCTATGGATCTTGTTGTCCATAAACATGGTTGGACTGTTACTGACAAAGACACTATGGAACATGTTCCCCTGAGGTCTGTGGAATCTCCTTCCTGTAGCACTTTTGATGAAACAAGACCTTATATGTGCAATGTCCTTTTGGAGGAGCAAGAAAAAGATGATGTTGGCCAAGAAGGGGATCCAACAGTTTACACATGCATTGAGTGTAGCATCTATTTTAAGATGAAAGAACATTTGATGGATCATATGCTTCAGCATAACAGAGGATTGGATCAGGACAAAGAAGATACTAGAGATCTGGATCAGTTGACCTGTAGTGAGTGTGGATGGGTTTTTGGGGACATTGAGTCTCTAGACCGGCACAGGAGGCTTCATCAGCAATCAAGAGAAAAGATCATTGAAGAAATCCAGAAGCTTAATGAATTATCAGATGAAGGGAGAGATGCCAAGCTACAATGCCCAAAATGTGTGTTTGGAACCAATTCTTCTAAAGTGTTTGTTCGGCATGCAAAAATGCATGTTAGGGAAAGGAAAAATCAAGGTTTGAAGAATGTGTTTGGCAGTTCTGCTTGCAATGAACCACAGAATAGCTCTATACACAACATGCATAAACATTTAAGGCTAAATGAACATATATCTCAAGTTGCACAAGATGCACACAGTAGAAATAAAAAGCTTAGCATTTGCACGCTTTGCAGCTTCCCTGCACCAGATGAAAAGATTTTAAAAGAACACATGGAATATGCTCATTCCCACCTGCCATGGAACATAGAGACTTTGGAAGCAGACATGAACCAACCTGGGACTAGTAGGGATGACTATAACCCTAGCAAGTCAAGACGATTTTTGGAAAGTGATTATTTGAGCAAAACAGACAGACCCTTTCCACAGTACGACTGTGAAACTATGCCCCACTACAACTCTTTGTTTGAGTGCACAGCTGGTCACCCGAAATTTCACAAAACTAACAGCATAAAGGACATCCCAATGCCAGGATTTCGGGCTAGGAAACGAGCTCCCTATAACTCCTCACAGAATGTCTTGGCAATGTCCACTCTTACCTCATCAAAAGCTCATTCTCCATATGCCTTGAACCAAATGAGAAATAAAAGCACAACTCTGCCCCTTGAGACTGAGAGAGAGAATATCCAAAGCCATTCAGGTGGGTTGGAGGAACAACCGTACAAATGGTTATCTATAAACAATATTAGGATGACTGAAGAAGAATTCCCTTTGACGACAGAAATAGAATTAGCACAGAAGAGATACTTTAAACCTTTTGTTATTCCTCAATCTGTCTTGGAACTCAAAAGGACTTTTGCAGGCACTTTGAAGGCAATGGATTGTACAACCCTATCAGCAGGACAGCAACAGCAGTTACATCAAATGGTTCCTATTGTTCTTGTTGAGGAAATTAATATTTATCCCCAAAAAAGGAAGAAGCCGAAGATGAAGAATCTGAGAAAAAAGTTGTCACCTGCAAGACACTTTGGAATGGAGGAATCTCTTCCCTTAAGTGTATTTCTGTTAGATTCTTCTCTAGAAGGATCTCTTGAACTGGATGATCTTCTGGGTACAGATTCCACAATGCTGAAAAATGAGGAGAGAAAATGCCCGTACTGTCCTGACAGATTCCACAATGGGATTGGTCTAGCCAATCATGTGCGGGGCCACCTGAACAGGGTGGGTGTGAGTTACAATGTCCGTCACTTCATCTCTGCAGAAGAAGTGAAAGCTATTGAGCAAAGATTTTCCTTCCAAAAGAAGAAGAAAAAAGGTAGTATGTATTCAATTTGTATTTTTTTCTATGTTTCTATTTTTTTTTAAAAAAAATCCTTGAAGATGGGTATGTATGCTCTCCAATTTTCTTTCCTGAAAAGATTTTTACAATATCATTGTAATGGCTGGATATTATTACATTATGATTTAATAGAGGTTCTCTATAGTATAAATGGCCTCTCAGTTTTATTATATGACACTGATTATTATTTTGTTTTTCATAGTTGCAAACTTTGATCCAAGTACGTTCAGTTTAATGAGATGTGAATTCTGTGGAGCTGGCTTTGACACACGTGCAGGGTTATCCA